CCAACCATCTTATTTACAACTCATCTATCTTGTCCAATTACTCACCCAAACAACAAAAGTACACCTAAGCACCTAAAACAACTTTCAACTTAACCAAATCACTAAATGTGAAATGGCAACCATCACAACAAACAGCGCATCGGGAGTTATACTACTCCTACCATGCTCATCCTTATCTCATATGAAAGATAATCAAATTTCCTACAACTCTCATTAAGACACCAAGTCCAAATTCCTTCATCTACCTTGTTAAAAATGATGAAAACCGCAACAGCTATAACCAAAGCTGACAGCTCGACCCCTCTTCACTAAAACAGCCACATCTAGAGTTCTAAAACTCCTTTTTGAGTGATTCCAGCGCCATTGGAAAGCTAACATCCAAGGCTACAACTTTCATGAAGACCTCAACAGAGACGCGGATTTAAATTGCGCCCGGCGCGAAGAACTTCGCCCGGCGCAAATTCAAACTGCAACTGCCCCCAAATTCGAAAATTTCACAAAACCTGCAAGAATCAACCAAAAATCCACATGCAAACGGTCCAAAACATCACATTTTCATCAAACAACCCAAAAGTACCAGCTTTTTCAACATGCAACATCAAACAAGGAAAATCCCCAAATTTCCACTCAAACCCCGAAACCCCGGAAAAATCCATTTTCATCAACCTCAGCTCAAATCATCCAACGTTCAAACAACAATGAGCTACTAGAACTCATTTTCAGCAATTAATCTGCAAAAGAAATTAGCTTCCCTTACCTTAGCTTGAAGATTCGAGCTTCGAGAAGGAAAACGAAGAAGAAGAAGAAAAATGAGAAGCTCCGCACGGTCTGGATCCAGAAGAGAATCACCTAGTCGGTACCTTGAATTTGAATGGAGCACCAGCAAGAGAGCACAAAGTCAGCCTCAGAGAAGTACAGCGAGAAGTGAGCGAGAGGAGAGGGTTAGCAATGTAAGGAAGAAGGAAATGAGAATGGGCCTCGGGGGAGAAGGAAATAATAAGGGGGTCTCACACTTAGGGTTTATAGTGATCTGTTTGCAAAAATTGAGATTTCCTTGCAAGTTTTCTATTTATCCTTTTTTATTTGTGATTGTAGCAATGACCAGTGAAAGGGATGATTCTCTTCAATCTATTAGTGTGCAACTTAATAAGCTGAATTAACCTTATTGGAGTTATGTCTTAAAAAATCTCTTAAAAGACAAAAGGATGTGGGACTAGTGTCTAGAGCATATGTTATGTCGAAGGACAAAAAAAATGATAAATATGTGGTTAAGTTAGAATCTTTGGAAGCTAACAATTCAAAGATAATTACTTGGATTAACAATTGTATTTCCCGATGTATAGGGATTCAATTGGCAAAGTATGAAACAACCAAAGAGATTTGGGACCATTTGAGTTGGTTGTATGTGTAGTCCAACTTTGCAAAGAAATATCAATTGGAGATTAACATTCAGGCTCTCTAGCAAAATAACATTAGCATTCAGGAATTCTATTATGCTATGTCAAATCTTTGGGACCAATTGGATCTTAAGAAATCTGCAGAATTACATACTTTCAAACCTTACATAGATCCAAGAGAAGCACAACATTTGGTTTAATTTTTGATTCTATTATTAATGAACTTTTAGCTAAAGAGATTTGACTCAAGTTCCAATTTGAAAAGGGAAAAGTCGAGAAGGGTATTATTTCCACTCCTAACGAATCCATTCTCATAGTACCTTCTAACAAAATCAAATCACATGGAAAAGTTGATTATGATGAATGTAGTTTTTGTAAGGAGAAAGGTCATTGAAAAGCATAATGCCTGAAATTGTTAAGTAAATCACAATAGCCCTCTTAATGGAGATCTCCTAATCGGTTGAGTCATGAAAATCTCAAGCCTCTATTGCCCAATGTTGTTGTAATAATTCCTTCATCGGATGGCCCTAGTGCTGGAAATGTATACTATTCTAAGGGTAAGTCTGTTATGGTCCTTTAGTAATTGATCTTGCGGAGCAATTTCATAAGTTTATTATTTCACAACCATATGCCATGTCTACTTCTCCTAGCATAGGTTTGTCCTCTTATAACTCATCAAGTATATCTTCATAAATATGGATTTTTGATTCAAGAGCCTCTCATCATATGTCATTTGATTATAAATCTTTTGTGTCATTGCATAATGCCTTTTCAATGTTTGTAATGACTATTGATGGTTCTCTTATGCCATTAGCAAGTAGTGGTTCTATTTCTACATCACACTTGTCCATTTCTAATGTTTATTGGATTCTTAATCTTACACTTAGTCTTGTTTTTGTTAGTCAATTGTGTGATTCTAGTTACTCATTCTTATTTTCTTCCACTTCTTGTCATGTACAAGATCTACAATCCAAAAGGACGATTGGGACCAATAAAAGGCATGAGGGATTATACATTTTGGATAAATTGCATGTGCTAGAAGTTGTAGCCTCTAATGTTGACTTGTTATCTTTTTGTCTAAATGCATCATCTTTTAATTTTTATTTGTGACATTCTTGTCTTGGACATGTTTCTTCTTCAAATTTGCAATACTTAACTTCTATAGGGGCTTTGGGAAAGTTGCAAACTAGTGATATTTTTTATTGTTATGGTTGCAAGCTTGCCAAATTCTCGGCCTTGCCATTTTGTAAAAGTATATCAGTTTTTGTTGCACCTTATAATTTAGTTCATTTTGATGTTTGGGGTCCATTACCAGTTCCTACCAAAGGTGAATCAAAAAATTATGTGTCATTTATTGATGATTGTACTCATTACACTTGGGTTTATCATATGAAACATTGTTGTGATTTCTTTAATATTTATAACATGTTTCGTGCATTTGTCAAAGCTCAACATAATGTTATTATCAAGTTTTTTGAAGTAATTTAGGTGGTGAATATACTCCCAATCTGAATTGCTTACTATTAATGGGACCTTTCATTAAAATTCTTGTATTAACACTCCTGAACAAAATGTAGTTGTTGAAAGGAAACATCATCATATCATTGAAATTGTTCATTTTCTTCTTTTGTCAACATCTTCTCCTAGTGAGTTTTTGGGAGACGTTATTCTTACTGTTGTATATGTTATTAACAAAATTCCATCTTCTATTACTTTAGGTTTATCTCCTCTTGAAAAGTTATTTGATTGCGTTCCTGATTATTTTGCTTTGAGAGTTTTTAGTTCTACTTTTTTTTTGTTCTTCTTCCTCATGTAGAACGTAGTAAATTATCCCATCATTCAACAATATGTTTTCTTCTTGGTTATGATGATGGTCAAAAAGGATATCGTTGTTATAATCCTATCAAGCAAAAGCTTTTATGTCGCTCATCATTTTCTATTTTTTGAACATATACCATTTTACTTTATCCCTCATAATTCTCACAATATTATAAAGAGTGATTTCATTCACATTGACCCCTTTGTCATAGGTGCATATGGATCCCACCTTAGTGGAACCATCATCCAAATAATTCTAATGTCGAGTTTTGTAGGTCAGACATTGGTAGTTCTTCAAATTCAGATGTCCCCTCTAGCCCTACTACTTCCCAAGAATCCTTTGTGGTTGTTGATCCTTCTCCTAGTATTCTCAACATGATCATAAGTGCACTAAGTTAGTTGGTTTTATTTATTCTATTTAATCATCTTGCTTTGCTTCCTTTTTCACTTCTTTCCATAGTTTGTTTGAGCCCACTTCCTACCAAGAGGTTATGCTTGACCCCCTTTAGCAATAGGTTACGGTAGAGGAACTTTCTGCATTACATGAAACAAATACTTGTGACATTGTCTCCCTTCCTTAAGGAAAATCTGCAATTGGCTCTAATTGGGTATTCAAGATCAAAACCAAGTC